AAAAAAAAAAAAAAAAAAAAAAAAAAAAAAAAAAAAAAAAAAAAAAAGAGAGATAGATGTGAGATCAATAGTCTCCTACAAGCTGAGCCTGAGTCTTGGAGATGTATTATACTAACAGTGGACATTTAATTCAGCTACACTGAGCTGTCAAGAATCACGGGCAAATGTGTGTTCCCATGATATAGAAATGATTTTTCTGCATTGAGCTGAATTAAATGTCCATTGAGTTCTGACTTTGTGATGGTGCTTAATAGATTCCAGATTTTTTTTTCTCGCTCTGACGCCAGGCTGGAGTGCAGTGGTATGATCTCAACTCACTTCAACTTCTGCCTCCCAGGTTCAAGCAATTCTCCTGCCTAAGCCTCCCAAGTAACTGGGACTATAGGTGAGCGTCACCACACCCAGCTAATTTTTGTTTTTTTAGTAGAGATGGGGTTTCACCATGTTGGCCAGGACGGTTTCAATCTCTTGACCTCGTGATCCGCCTGCCTCAGCCTCCCAAAGTGCTGGGATTACAGACATGCGCCACCGCACCCAGCCTTCGGATTTTTTTAGTATTTATGTTATATTCTTACAATGGCCATTTTTTAAACTTAAAATAATGTCTACTATTTTTTAACTACTTGGTTAGGTGTTTCTATATGTCTTAGCTAATTCAACAAAATTAAAGTTAGCATTTACACACACACACACCATTAATGATTAAAGAAGATGAGGTCTAGAGAGATTAAGGGTTATACACCTAAACTCATGATCCTTCTATGTTATGAAGCCAGAGTTTCTGACCAGGTCTGTCTGCCTTCCAAAGCTGTCTTATGGCACTATTTGGCTAGAAAAATCACATCCTAATTGAATTTGTAACTATTGTATAGTTAATATTTCCTTTGCAAGACATTGGTGCGCATTCAGTCCAAGCAGAAATATTCACCTCCTAACATAGTGACACTTTCATTCCACACATCCAGCATGGAATTTCCAAACATTCAAAATCATCTTCACATTAAGCCACTTGTTTAGAGAAGTCCCCATCTTGAACACTTTGAGCTGTCAAGAACCAGGGGCAAGTGTGTGTTCCCATCATATAGAAATGATTTTCTAAAATTATCTTCAGGAACAAAATCATAACAAAGAGTTTGGATGGTGAGGGGAGAAACTTTTTTTTTTTTTCCATTTTGTTTCACTTTCTGAAAAGATTTTCCTCAAATGCTCTAAAAATCTCATTTGGGATAGAAATCAAACAGAACCAGACTCAGCCAGAAAAAAAAAAAAAAAAAAAAAAGATAGATAGATGTGAGAGTCACAGTCTCCTACAAGCTGGGCCTTGGGGATGTCAGCTATGTGTCAACACCTCTCCTCTGGTAGCAATGTCAGTACCGTCACCAAGAAAGGCAAAAGAAAAAATCTTCACTCAGCAGCATGAGCCCAGAAGAGACAACCAAAGAGAATGGCAAAACAGTGTCAGTAAACAGAATAACTGTGGGTAAGAAGGGAGTTAGTGTGGTCTAAACACAAGGTTCTGTTTCTATTTCATTATAATGACTATGGAATCCTGTGAGATAAAACACATTTGTTAAAAAGGGAAGATGTGTTCCCTTTCGTAAGTTGAGTAAACATGGCCTACATTCAAGATCATATCACGGAGAGAAATGATTCTTCCTTCCCATATTTTCTTCTGGGACCAAGGAGCCAAAGGAGTTTGAACAGTGCATTTTTCAGTTTTTGTTTGTTTCTTTTCTGAAAGAAGTTAGAATGTATCAGCTGATGTCACTAACATACCTCGATACTTCTGAGGAAGAGGAGATAGAAACAAAAGTGAAGAAAATAAATTTAAATCGGCATGCTCTTAACTTTACCAGCTGGCTGAAAGGGCATTTTTCCTAATGAATTGGAAACAATTCACAGCCTAACTGTAAATGGAAGGAAGGCCCTGGGATAGCTTAAGAAAATGTACAAAAATTAATATATGCATAATTATTTTCATATTTTTGCTTCTTATATATGTTTATCTGAATATTCAACTCTGAAGAATAACAGGTGGTCTGCCTTATGCTATGTACAAACATAGATAGATAGATGGAGAGATAGATGATAGATTAGACATAAAACCTTAAGAGTTTTAGGTTTTTTGGAGGGAGAGAACTTATTTATTTTATATATGGTTTGGGGTTTGGGTATATGTGTGTGTGTATTTGTAAGCCATTTAAAAAAAATTTTTTTCATTTATCCACACATTAGAAAATAAAATGAAAAAAATCTGACAAAAATTCAAAGTAATAAATGTAACAGAATTTGCAAAATGTATATGAAGATTTTTTAAAAGATTTATTTTTATTTGTATAAATGTATGGGGTGAACATGTAATTTTGTTACATTGCTATACTGTACAGTGGTGAAGTCAGGGCTTTCAGCATAACCATCAGTGGAGTAACATACATTTTACCCATTTCTGATCATCCACTCCACTCTCACCCCACCCAAGAGTGCCCAACATCTAACATTCCACACTCTACTTGCAAGTGTACACGTTATTTAGCTCCCACTTATAAGCGAGAACATGTAGTATTTATCTTTCTGTTGAAGACATTTTTTAAAACACTGAGAAAGGGAACCAAAGAAGACTTAGACAAGTGGAAAGGTGTACCATGTTCTTGGATAAGAAGGCACAGTATAATAAAAATGCCAATTTTCTCTACCATAATTTATACAATTAACATGATATTATTAAAATAACTATAGGATTTTTTTTCAACTGAGCAAGCTGTTCAAAGTTTTTATATAAATTGAACATACAAAACAGGAGAATTCTGAAAAAGAGGTATAAAGTGGAGGAACTAGACTTACTAGGTATTTAAAATATAATAATAAAGCTATAATAATTTAAACAATCTGTACCTGCACTTGACTAAACAGAGAAATCAATGGAACCCTATGGAATCCAAGAATTAGATGTATATACCTAACAGTATATAGTATATAATAAAATTGCATTAGAAATTGTGAGGAGAAAATGGATTTATAAATGATGTTGGGAAACTGGGTAGTCATCTAAAGAACAAGTTTATTCCATAGGTAGCACCTTTGTACTTAATGAATTTTGATGGATTAATTATAAAAATGTAAGAAATAAAATTAAAAAGTTATAGAAGAAACTATTATGGGCTTCTTAAAAATGTAATCTGACAGTGTAAGATACTTTGTACACATGATTCAAAAGCATAATAGAACAAGTAAACACAACCATAAGAAACTAAAAATGGCCAGGAACAGTGGCTCACACCTGTAATCCTGGCACTTTGGGAGGCTAAGGCAGGCAGATTGCTTGAGCCCAGGAGTTCAAGACCAGCCTGGGCAACATAGGGAAGCCCTGTCTCTACAAAAAAATACAAAAAATTACCTGGATGTGGTGGCACATGCCTGTAGTGCCAACTACCCAGAAGGCTGGGGTAGGAGAATCACCTCAGCCCAAGAGTTTGAGGTATCACAAAAGGGATATATTAAGGACTCAAATAAATAAATAGTAAAGCCATCCACCAAATAGAAAAAAAAAAAAGTAGAAAAGAGTACAAATAGATAGTTTATAGAAAAGGAAATTAAAATGAGAAATGCAAATAAGTTTCACATTAAAGTATCATTTTTCAACTATCAGGAAGATAAAGATCTAAAACTTTTATTGCATACTCTGTTGGCAAGTCTATTAGGAATTGGCACTCTCACTCATGCTGATGGGAATAGGTATTGGTAAAACCCTCTTGGAGTGTGATTTAGCAATGTATACCAAAGCTATAAATATGCATACTTTTTACCTAGCAAAGGTTATCCTACAGATTTACCATGCATATGTGTGAAATATGAAAGCACAAGGTTATACATTACAGCTTTTTTTAATTATAAATATTGGACACAGCTTACTATCCTTGCATAGGAGCTGATAAAATCAAATTTGGTACATCCATTTCAACATGCTTACTCCATACAACTCCAAATACCAAAGAAAAGGACAAAACAAATCCAAAGCATATACATAGTGATCCTAAATCCCAGTTTCCAGGGCAGTCTGGGTTTATGCTTGTTGTCCTAGAGTTTCATCCAGTTGACATTGCCTTGTATTCTCCAAAGTGATCTATTTAACAAATAATCTGGTTGCTGAAACGGAGTAATTGTTTATACCCCCGCTCCCCACTGACAGATTCATATGTTAAGTCCTAACTCCCTATGTGATAGTATTAGGAGGTGAGGCCTTTGAGAGGTAATTAAGTCATGAGGGTAGAGCCCTCATGAATGGGATCAGTCTTATAAAAAGACTCCAGGGAGCTCTTTTGCCCTCTTTCTGCTATTTGAGAATACAACAATCTGGAACCAGGAAGCTGGTTCGCACCAGAACCCAACCTTGCTGGCACCACGATCTCTAACTTCCAGCTCCAGAATGATGAGAAATAAATTTCTGTTGTTTGTTAGTCAATCAGTCTATAGTCTTAGATTGATGCAAAAGTTATCACACAATTACTTTTGCACCAACTAATAATTGCAAAAATCACAATTACTTTTGTACCAACGTAACAACTTGTTCCAGCAGCCCAAACTAACTAAGGCAGTCACTATAGGTGTACTTCGCTTTGGAAGTGAGAGAAGGGATTGGGGTGAAGCAGGGAGTGGGATATGAGGTTAGATGAAGGGAAAGGGAAGTGAAAGACAACTTGATGCATCCCGGCCAACTTGGTACAATTCAATTCTTCTCTTTTTGGCCCTATCGAAGCCGTAAGCTATAGATGGTAAGTTTCTGGAGTCAAGAGAGCCTAGGTTCAAATCCTGGCTGTATAATTTACAATCTACATGATCTTGGCCAATTCCTTAACCTCTCTCTGCCTCAGGTTTCTCATCTATAAAATTGAGATACTAGCACCTATCTCATTAAGGTTATTGAGAGGATTAGATGAACTAATGTATGTGAAGCACTTAAAACAGAGTCTGACACCTATGAAGCACTACAGATGCATTAACAATTACTGTGATTCATGGTGCTCTTAGTGTCGCTACCTTATCCAGGCCTTGACAAAGTCAATACATACTGAAAGGCTGAACTACTGAAATAAATTGCAACTAAGATCTATATATAAACTGCATTCACTCATCCAACATATTTTTGATGAACATTTATATTTAAGGCTCTGACTCTTGGAGAGTAAAATTTATATAAAGCATGGTAGGAAAATAAGATGAATTGGTATAAAGCCCACATGCATAAGATGAAGCTATTATAAAATGTGTTGATTATGAATTTCTAAAACTTGATTAATTTAACCAAAAGCAGTCTAGTTATCAGGAAGTTCGCTGATCTTTTGATTATCTGATAATCTTAATAAAACTTCAAAACAAGATAAACATTATTAATATAGGCCAGTTTTAGCTAATACTGAACAATAAAGGGGTAACTTAACTGCACTTTCTTGGTCAAGAACAAGACTTTGGAACCAGGATAGGCTCAGATTTGAAACTAGCTCTGCCACTTTCCTTGTGTACCTTGAGCAAGATACCTAAACTTTCTCTCCATTAATTCTTCATATGTAAAATAAGCAGCACTAGCTACCAGTTGATACAGTGTTATGAGAATTAAAGGCAGTTACATAGTGTTTAGCCCATAATAAATGCCCAGTAAGTACTTGCTACTTGCAAACATCATAATTATTATTTCTCTGAATTTAAACAAGTAGTACTTATATCTCTATTCAAGTTATCTTCTCCACCTGATTTGCCTTGATTTTTCTCTATGTAAAAGAGATTAAACATAATTCATTATTGTTAAAATAATGAATGTTTTTAAAAATGTATTTCCAAAAATCAGTGACTTGGTGATATTTCTCATAGCAAGAGTATAAACTAACTCCCCTTGAGGGAGTGACATAGCCATCTCTTTGTTTAGGTGATTTCTAGACTTCCTATTTAGGCAAGGCTCTGATCTAGAAGACATAACTTTTTATAATGCAGCTCTGATGACACAGCATGAGTGATGGAGCTATAAACAGACTCCCTCCACCTCCCCCACAAACCATGTTTCTGTAGGATGAGGGCCCAGTCAGTGGGAATTCACTTGTAAAAGACTTGGAAATACTTTCTTCAGCCCACAGCTGAGCACCAAAACTTTTCAGCTATATGCCATCTCTCTTAAAATTATGTTCTAAGCCAAGAGAAAAGTCTTGCTAAGTTATTTATGTTTAGAGCCATTTGACTTCTCATTTTAAAGTACGAATATTACAAGTAACTTAAATAGCAGGCACAGTCTAAAGATTTAAAAGGAAGAAAAAGTTGATGAATCGCTGATATACTTACTAAAGTGAATATTAGGAATTTTAATGTCAGATGTTCTAATGGGAGAAAAACATGTTTGAGAACTAAAGAGATTAGCTGAGAACTGAACTCTAAGGCAGGTATTTTTAGGAATCTTTGGTAGTGTTTTAATGTCAGTTAGCTTAAGAAACAAAGTAAAGTATTTGTGTCTCATAGTTGCTAGGCAACATATTGGATTTGATTTGGTTTCTAGTCATTTTAAAAAATAGTGCCATGATTATAATAGCAATAAAACAATATTATCCTTTTCTCAATTCAATATTAAAATACTTAAGAACAGTTGGCTTTGATGGGGTCATTATTACTTAACTTTTATTTTTTCATTGTTTCCATATCCTTGTTCTAGAATCCTGGAACCATGCACTGTACTCTTAAAAGGATAACTTATGTCTTAATTGTGCATTATACTGTTTTACTATTTTAAATTAGATATTTACAGAAAATTCAAGATACTGAACTTTGTAGCCTTTTTTCTGAGTTTCTCCACAGTTTGATCATCATATTCCTGATCATCAATATATTTTCTTTTTAAGAAGGCAAGGGAGTAGTATGTACCTGGGAGAGATTTTCACTTCAAATAATCACAATATTGCTATTGAAAGTGGTAAGCCGCAGATATCTTTAAAAAATATTTACACAAAAACCTAACTCCCCAATCAAGCCAGGAAGATTAAGTATTATTAGTATTTATGCATTTCTGTGAATTTTTAACATAGACAATATTTTTGTTTTCTTATAAAGTTAACACATACGTTTTAATTTTTTTTAAGTCAGTACCACAAAGCAGTATAAAATAAAAAGTAACACCCTTCTTCCTACTCCTTCTTCAAG